TTTTGCGGTACAACATTTTAATAGTTTTAATCAAGTTATCAAAAAAAAATCCGACCAGAGATAATAGTTAAAATTCTAGTCTTTTTAATGGTGTACAAACATTTTCTCTACGATTTACATGTAATGAGCCACACAGTTGGGCGTTGGACATGTTTTAGCTTACCTATACTTTTGGAGGGTGTAGCGTCTTAACGTGTCCTCATCAGTATAAGAACGTATTTGATTGCGATGTGCAGTGTGTCAAATAAACCAGAATTTTTTGTTAGTTCAAAAATAATTTGAAATGCCCCACTCACGACTCATAAGTGATTTAAATATACATTTTCTCATTTGGCTATGGGCCCCAATATTGAAAATATCCAAGGCCCATCGGTATTCGGTAATCGCCGGTTGAGCCACACCGACTGCATAATATAATATGTGTAGTGTGTACTGCTTATATATTATATTATAATTATATTATGATAGGCAAGTATACAATTTATATACGGAAATAAATTTAAAAGAAACAGAAACAAATAATTTTAAGTCCTAAACGGACCTAAAGTACCTTCCCTCTATATTATTGTAATCAAATTGTTACCATAAATAAGCAAAATATAATGAATAAAACTAATAGTCGCCGTAGATAAAGATCAATTTAATAAAAATGAATATACAGAATAACATATTTAATACGAGTATATTATCAACTCATTTTATTCATATTCAGATCGATAAACCACATAAGTATTATTGCGTAATTGCAAACCTCAATTATCTTGTTCTACAATTAAAATGACTAAATTAAGAATTCATATACCCATCCAAAAAAAATATTTTTTTTAGTAATAAGCATATTATCTTTTTTTGCTGAACACGTGCAAAACGTTATAGCTAATTCGTTATTACATAAATAATACTTCAATAAATATTGTTTATAATTGTGGGGTTATCAATATGAAGTCAAATAATTTGATTTCATCTTAAAACGTATTGTATGTACTATATTGCTGTCTGTATTGTATAATATAGCAATTATTTCTTTAGAGGATTAAAAAAAAAAATGAAATGACAATATTGTCAACCATCAGAATTTACTCTAATTTATTTATTAATTATACTATTATTTCATGTATTTGTAAATTTGTAATTACTTATATTATAGGGACATTATTTTTTGCCCTCTGTTTAAAAGGAATTGGAAAAAAAAGATCTTTTTAGTATTGCAGGTTTTTAATACAATTAACAACTTATTAATGTGACATACTAATATATAATCTAATTTGTATTTCTTATGTAGTAAGACAGTAAGTTAAGTAAGTATGTGGGTAGATGTATACAATAAATAATAATATAGTGAATGAGTTGTGAATACATGCAATGTGTAGACGGTAGGTGCCTAATGCCTATATATTTGTATATGATTAAACAAAGTTATTTTTCATTTATTTATGAATAAACAAATCGTTCAATACCCTACATTTATCATTTGTATACATTTTACACATTATACATTGTATCACATTTTACATCGTTATATACTTCACACATTTGATTTACAGTTAAGTATTAAACATTTATTCATTATTGTTATAAAAAAAAAAAAATCGTCGTAAAAATAATTATAATATATACTATATAGGTACGTACGAGATTTTATAATTTTTATATAAAATCAAAATTATTCAAAATATGGGTAATACGATAAAATAAAGTATGTATAGTATAGTGAAGTAGATATTGCTTAGATTAGAATTAATTTACATCCAAGTGTTGTAGGAAAATCAAATATTCTATTCGACATAATATCATTGTTGATGAACCGATCATATAAAATTAAAATAGTATAAACTTAATTGTGATTTCATTTAACGGCATATTCTATTTATTTGAAATCTGTTTTAGTTTCTTTGCTTTCATGGTTTGTATTCACTTTTATTTCACGTGATTTTGATTAAATATGATTCACTGGTGTGTGGTTTTAAGCGATAATGATATTTTAGATAAATATTTGAGGTATGAACGGTTTGATTTTGGGAAAACTGTGGAATTGATGTATAAAAGTAGTGTGCGGATTTGACCGATGACCTTTTTTTGAAAGTGTGCGGTTATAACGACCTCTGTAAATACAACGGTTATGCAGGAGTGCAAATGTTGGTTGTTTGCGATAAGTAATTAAAAATATTATATGTCTTTATGAAAAGATACAAAGCATATACGTATAACGTATAATAAACGATCACGAGTAAAAACAAGCAATATTTAATAGATCCAAACAGACTAAACTGACTGATATGTTATACGCATTGATATGGTCATACGGAACAACAATTTACCAAATAGCCATTCGAGATACTCTTTACACCTTACTCCTTACTCCTTAGCCAACATACACTAAATAATAATAGACTGCTTCAATCAACACCATCTTATGAAGCATACTTCAGATTCACAATTATTGGAATTTGGAATATTTCAGTCAAGTAAACTGAAGTAGGTAAAAGATAGCTATAGAAGCTCACAGCGAGTCAAATTAAAAGAACCTAACTAAACTATGAATCATATTAGGTAGGAGGTGCGTACTACCTAAAGTACCTATGCTACAATTTATAAATGTATAATGTATATTGTATATCAGGGGCGGCCAAACGGTCTATCGCGGACAATTTCAAATTCGATCATGTTAGAATTTATTTTTAGGGACACGCGCACGAATTGTTATCGAATTGTCGATAAGTTTTATCTGTTTAATTTTAATCTGGTTTCGTGTGTCAAATGTTTATCGGTCACGAATGTTCATTTCACCGTGTTCTGTTAGTGTCTATTGTATTTAAAATTTATAATTATGAGTGCACATAAGAAACAAAAAACTTATTTTCATCAAGAATGGGAAATGGATTTTTTTTTTCAATGTTGAAAGACAAGTGCATAATATGTTTGATATGTCAAATAACAATATCCACAACAAAAAAGGTAGTCTAGAAAGACATTTTAGAACTACGCATTCAAAATTTGATATAGATTTCCCTCCTAAAACTGAAGCAATTAGAAAAATTAAAACTTAAAATTGATAAATAACAATTGATTTTTACTAAACCAGTTTTAAAATCCAAAGCAACAACAATTGCTTCATTTCGAATTAGTCATGTTTTAGCTAAAAATAAAAAAAACATTTCAAACCGGTGAAATAGTAAAACAAGCTTTTTTAGAAGGCGCAGATGCTTTATTTGAAAACTTTAAAAATAAATCATAAATTTTATCAGCTATAAACGATTACCAGTTATCTCGCAAAACTGTGACTAGAAGAGTAGAATCTATAGGACAAAATTTAGTTGAAATATTAAAACTAGACATCAAAGAATGTGTTTATTTTTCACTTCAATTCCATGAATCAACAGACAACAGATACCGCATAAATACAATGTATATTAATATACCTAGTAGTAAGTAGCTAAGGTATAACTAGGCCTGTATGTTAAGAGATGGGGGAGGGCTGAAGTCATTAAGTCATGGCATTTGTTGACAGTAAAATAAGGTAGGCATACCCACCGACCTATGTAAACATTTAATATTATGTCGCCTTCCACACAGATATTAACTAATAAGTTATAACTTGATAAGGTATAATAGTATATGAATATTAATTATTACTTATTAGGTATGATGAGACACATTTTAATGTTTCTAAATTTGGTAGGTAATACATTTACGACTTGGGCTTTATAAAATATAGATGGGTTAGTAATTAATACTACATTATAATACACTTGCTGATGATTTAACCAGCTGTCGTAGACCGTAGACTGGGTTTTCACCTAAATTGTATATTAATTGTATCAATCATATTTATAATACATATTTAATGACAAGGAACTGTACGAACTCGTAATCTCGCAATTAGTGTTAAGTTATTTAATTACTTTATAGTGCCAATCAGAAAATAACACATTATACTAATATGCTATACCTACATAATTTCGTATTGTATACTCTTAGAACGTAATATAGATAAAACGTTTCTAGAATATTAGTCGTTTTCTGTTTAACACTTATAAATACGACTATAATATTATAATATAGATTGTCTACTTTGTACTCTGTAGACTGTACCTGCCTACCTAATATCCTTATATAGGTAATACAAAATATTATAATATGCATGCTAATATGCTATATTATCCGATATGTCAGTACAAAATAATAAAATTAAAAAATAGATTCAAATTGAAGTGTCATATACAAAAACTGAAAAACAAATCATAAATATCTACGCTCATACATAATACATGATATTATAAAATCAACGATCGGCACATCGACATACAACGAGCGTCAACGACTGTCGTTATTAAAACTTAAGAGTATAGCTTATTGTTTATAAATATTTAAATTGGGCTTTGATACTGAATCACTGGCTAAATATTCGTTGTAATACTATACAGAACAAACATGTATTTTTAATGTTGTAAGTAAACAGCAAAAATAAGGTTAGCAAAATTCTGTATAGTGCACCTACTCAGTACAGTACCTACACAGATTAACACAAAACCGAGTGGTTTTCAATTAATGGTTGGGACTTCAGTAAGTAGTTCGGCCACCTCTTAAGTCGAGCCTAGAATAAGTACCTAGTAGGTGAGTACTAAATTGACAATTAGTAGTATAATATTGGGTACATGTCGTACTTATATCTATATCTCTATAATATGTCAGATATACCTACGGGCTACGTGCTCGGCTCAGGTGGTACGGGCACCATAATTTATATCCAAGTTAATAATAATATGTTATTGAATAAATTATGCACACAATAAATAATTCAATTTTTTAATAAATGTCTACAGTCCGCACGACAAACAGACGATGACGACGGTCGTGACGTCTGTGTCCTGTGTGTGGGGGCCGCCGTCGTCCTCGGCGTTGATAACAACATGACCTGTAGTGGAGGGGCCGACGATCGCGTGGATTGTCCCCCGCCGATGCCACTCGTAGACCGAGATAACAGTTAAGTGTTAACGCTTACGCTTTATCACCGTCAGTCGTCTGTGATCGCGACCACTGAACGCTTTCATTACCTTATCCCGTTCACACCGGACGGGCGGACGGACGAATCGCTGGCGAACGTTTGACGCGAGAGAAATTCTTCGCACTCTGACGTCAGAGGTGTTTGCCGTTTGTCCGACTCTCACTTTCAACTTCACAAGTCACAGTCCCCAGACTACTCGTCAGCCACTAGGTCCGGATATCCGCCAACAGTTAACAACAGCAACTGGACGTTTTCGTGTAAAAGGTGAGTGTATCGGCTTCAAGTGTCCGGTCGCGCTAGGCTCATATGAAATGGTTGGTGACCGACCGTCGACCGTACTCGCACGATACCTATTACCTTTACAGAGTTGTTAATAGAGTTGCAACTCTAAGCCGTAGCATCTTTGGTGAGCCTTACTGCTTGTTGACTCTAACCTACCTATTAGGTCCTTACCAAAAAAATGTTATGAAAATTTGTTTTGATTTGATGTACATTTTCCAGTCAATACGTCGCCGTAGTAGCTAGACACAAAAACATGCCTATGAACATCTTGTGTTGTTAAACTTTTTATTTTTCTTGACAACTTTGAAAACATATAACTTCAATTGCCTTGCAATTATTATTTTACTATAATAATGCTGGGGTGAAAGGTGACCCGGTTAACCTTGTGCTCGTTAAGATTATTGTTTTTGAAATTGTATTGTCACTGGCCAAGACGGATACAATTCTATATTATTTGTTCTAATTAGAGGTTATTGTGCACAGTAACCCAGTAAATAGAATAAATCAATCGAATAATTATTATATAAATATTGGAAATTTATTCCAAATTTCTTAATTATTATGCTAATTTATGGATATGCTGTATTATTACACTTAAATTGAAGGTTAGCTAATTATAATATAATTCAAAGTATGACATTGAATGATGTATTCAAAACAATTCATTAATTTGATATTCTTGCCCAATACCTATGTTAATATTATAATTTACTTATTCTTAGTAAATATTTTGTTATCCATAGTTAATATTTATTTTAATAATTATCAAAGTTGATCCTTGAGGTTTTTTTCTCAGAACAGGTTTACTTTTAGAAAGTTTATGATTTATGATGCTAATAATATATAATTACACGTATAATATAATTTATGCATATTGTTGAGGTCGAACAATTGTAGGCAATTTCTTGTTTAGGGTCATCTTGTAATTTAATGACTCATTGAGCATAAATCAATATAATATGTAATAAGTATGTTGGGTGATGGTTTTACTTTCTATTTGGTTTTTTTCTTATTATATAAGACATAAGTAATTAGTTACTTCTATCTCAATGTTGATCTAAATTTTCTTTTATGTGTGTTATATTTAATATTGTATTATATAAATTTAATATTACCTCTATCTATAGGTTTAGTTAGACATTTAGTATACCTTAAGCTCTTAAAGTATCAATGAATGCTAAAATGCAAAGTCAAAATCACTTAGAATTGTGCCAAGTATAACAATATTTCGAGTATAACTATTTCCAGTAGTACAGTTGGTTAGTCTTCTATCTCTAGTGCAGTAATTTTGACTATAGTACCTATAACCATTGACTATAAATATTATAACTAATCATTTTTTGTAAAATTAAGTAACAATCACATAATATTACACTACCTATTTATGTTATGCCTCATATAATATGTATATCAAATAAATAAATTTATAAATTTATACTTTATATTTAAATCCAAACATAACTAAATTTGAATACAACAATATTGTGATTTTTAGGTTCCTTCAAGTTTATCATAACCAAATACAATTGTATTTTTTTTTTTAGTACAGTTTAAAAATAATATGATTTTGAATTTATTATAAATATAAATAATTTAAATTTATAGCTAGTTAATACTTAAGTCATTAATAGGTAATTTAGTACTAATTATTATATTTGTATTTTTTTTAGTCCAGAGCCATGGCTTGTCCATTCATGTCAAAATTACCTACTACTTATGTCAAGAACTATGTTTCGGGCTTGCTTAAAACATATGGTCACTCATGTCCAGTTATGTCTAGATTCATAAATGTTGGACCATCTGCAGGTGTTATAAATGAACAAACTGATATAAAGAAAAAGTGCCCATTCCTAGAGGACGAAAGTACTGCAAAAGCAGTTAAAGAAGTCAGCAAAGAAATTCAAGAAGATGTCATTGAACCCAAAACTAATACAGGTACCAAATTACTATTTATATTTTTAACATTTTATCTTAGTGCAAAATATAAAAACATTTTGAAACAGTTAATGAACATTGAATTGATTTTTATAATTTATGCTATTTATTATAATATGATTCGAACAATGACTAAGCAATTTATACAAATTTTTTATCACATTAAATATTGATAAGAATTAACAAATAACATTAAAAAAAAACTTAATATTCTTATGTTTATGGATTTCATCAAAGTTTTCATTTTAGCCATAACTATTAAAATAAAGTTTATGTCATTGAATTTTCCAATCAACTATAATTTATTGTTAATAACAAGTTGTGGTACTTAGAAATATTTTGAATTGATCAATTATTGTTAATTAATGACATAATAAATCAACATTTTATAGAATTTTCATAAATAGATAATTTTTGTTTTTATTTTGTTTTAAGGAAATATCTACAACTATGAAAAGTTTTTCCATGAACAAATCATGCGCAAAAAGGCAGACCATTCTTATAGGATTTTCAGAAAAGTGAATAGGTTAGCTATGGATTTTCCATATGCAGTCGAATATACAGGAAATGAAAAGCCCGTAACAGTATGGTGTTCAAATGATTATCTTGGTATGTCTTGTCATCCAGAAGTGAAGGGTGCAGTTCAGTAAGATGTGTTTATTACTTTATTACATTTTTAATAATATACCTATTTAATTGTAATTATTAATCTAAAATAAATTTTATTGAATTTATTAGACAAACTTTAGATAAATATGGGTCAGGTGCTGGAGGAACACGTAATATTTCAGGTAATTCAATGTTTCATGAGAATTTGGAAAAAGATTTAGCTGTACTTCATGAAAAAGAAGCGGCTTTATTGTTTACGTCATGTTTTGTTGCAAATGACTCTACATTATTCACATTGGGTAAAATGATACCAGGTATGGATAATAGATATTCATAAATATTTTTTAAATTTTGTTATTGACTAATAATTCATATTTAAGGCCTACATATATTTTCGGATTCTGGTAATCATGCCTCAATGATACAAGGTATTCGTAATTGTGGAGCTCCCAAACATATATTTCGTCACAATGACCCAAAACATTTAGAAGAACTATTAATGTCTGTTGATAAGTCTGTACCTAAGATAGTTGCATTTGAAACAGTTCACTCTATGACCGGTGCGATATGTCCACTTGAAGAGCTCTGCGAGGTATGAAAAATATACTGCCCATGGTTAATTAATTTATAACAGTTATAATAGTAAATTTGTTCGACTGTTCCTAGATATCTCATAAGTATGGAGCTCTGACTTTTGTAGACGAAGTTCATGCTGTAGGTTTGTATGGAGAACATGGTGCGGGTGTTGGTGAACTACGTGGCCTAATGGATCAAATGGATATTATATCTGGCACATTGGGTTATTATATAAATATGCCAGAAGAAAAATAAACACAATCTATAGTTTATTATTTTATATTTTAATTTTAGGTAAAGCTTATGGCAATGTGGGAGGGTATGTTGCAGCTTCAAGCAATTTAATTGATATGATTCGTAGTTATGCTGCTGGTTTTATTTTCACCACATCATTACCACCCATGGTTTTAGCCGGTGCTCGGGCAGCTGTCGGTGTGTTATCTTCAGCAGAAGGAAGATCACTCAGAAAAAAACATCAGGAAAATGTTGAATACCTCCGTCAAAAATTGTATGCTGCTGGGTTACCCGTTGAGTCAACACCATCTCACATCATACCCATTAAGGTCTGCCTTAGTTAAAATACAAATTCACGACACATTTAATATTTAATTTTATACATGGCACATTTTGGTTTAGATTGGAAATCCAAATTTATGTTCAAAAATATCTGACCTACTACTTCAAGAAAAAGGACATTATGTACAAGCTATCAACTATCCCACTGTACCAATTGGTCAAGAAAAATTAAGATTAGCACCTACACCACACCACACTCCAGAAATGGTCGATACTCTTATTGAAGACATGCTTGATGTCTGGGTAAAACTCGGCATTCCTCTCAATGCGGTAAGCAGTCAAAATTATTCTTGTAAAAATTAAATCTTTTAGTATATTTTATTTTTATTCAAAATTGGTTCATTGTTTGTTGATAATTTTATAGACTCGTTGCAGCATGTGCAAGAAAAAACCTCTGTGTGCCCGAATTAGCAACCATATTCAAAACAACTGTAGAATTACAATTGAGTCATGCCTGGCTCCCAATTGTTACCAGTTGGTTAATGCCTCAGCCTAAGATCAGTATTCTTGGTCATATTTTAAATTACTAAATCTTAAATCTTTGGTAACGGGTAAACATTCTTACTTCTCTCAATATTTGTTGCTATTTACACACGAGGTCAGGGGATTGTCCACTTAACTAACAATAGTTTTGAAACTTCAATAATTTATTACTTGTTGAAATATTTCTAATAGTTCAGTATAAAAGATACCATTCATTGTTCTTGTAATTCATTAATGTGCTAAATTATGATACTTAACCCTTTACACTCCACACTTTTTTTTGTGACTGATTACATAGATTTTTTACTTCTATGATTTGTTATTGTTACAATAGTTATGTTATTATTATTTATTGTTTTTTTTTAAATTTTCTGTTCTCCCCTTACAGTAATAAATATATAGTCACTATATAACATTATAATATGTTTTGTTTTTATTATGAAAATATTGTTGTAAATGTATCCTTCAATAGTTGAATATATTTAAAAATATATTAAATGAGTAAAACACAATGCTATGTTTCATTATTATTATTTTTTTTTAAAATTAAATGCAAGAATAAGTATTTCATAATGATACAGTTGATTTTTATTATGTTGAACGTCGCTATCTTGATTTTTTTGTTATCTTAGACTACATTTAATTTCTCTTAAAACTAATATTTCACTCAATAACATTAAACTATTGATAACTCGGTATAAAATTAGTCATTTTTTATTAAAATTAAAAAATAATTGGACAATTAGTAGATAATACCAATAATAATGAAACGTTTTTGTAAACATACTCGGAGCAAGTGTAATACTACGGTCTATAAATTGCTTTTTAAAAGATGGTTGTATAGACTTTTATATAATTCCAGTAGATAACTCAAATGTCTCAAATATTCCCGATCAATGGAATTTGGTTTCCAATCATCTTATTTTTATATTAGTATTAATGTTTTAATTATTCAAATTATGTATTTTAAGTATTTAAATTACTAACTATTTTTCTTCAAATTGTTGGTATCATGAACTTTTTCTTATTCCCCTCGAGATTCGACATAACAGGAGTTCACTATAGGTTAAGAGGATGTCTACTCATTTTTTTTCTCTCACTGACCTATTCGTTATATAGCAAATTTTAGATTCACAATAATGATTATAGTCACAATAATTTTTTTAAAAGAGAAAGAGTGAAATTACCTCTTATAAAATTTAAAGGTATGATTATTAAATTAGAATCTCTAAGGTTCTTTGTTATATTTTAATTTTAAAAAGAGTTTATGATTATAATCATTATTGTAAATGTAAAAATTTGCCATGTTGTACGTTGGTCAGAGAAAAAAAAATATGTTGACATCCTCTTAGTAACTTTTAGTTGCTTAATTTGGTTCACAATTCCAAGATCAGTGTTTGATGTACGGCTTGTGATTTTTTAATTATTAGAAAATAGAAATTGAAGATAATGACGATAAAATTGTTTTTCATTAATTCTACGATGCAGATAGCATATTGAAAATGTTATCAATAAATACATTATTTTGTTTTGAATCCAGAGATACTAAAACCTCAAAATCATAAATTTGCCTAATTGGAGGTTTTTTTGTGTCAAGGACGATAAGTTAAAAAGTTAATTTGTATGTTGATAGAGCAATGTAGTTAGTAAAATAATTTTTAGCAGTACCGCCTTGTTTGTCCGAGTTAAATTGTTGAAATGTTAAATTCTACAATTTGTATTCATTATGAGTTTATCTATGACTAATAATAGTTGGTTATTGTATACAATTATATATTTTGTATGCTGTTATTATTTCTAAAAAGCATTGGTTTAGCTTCATTCTTTTAGATGAGCAAATCTGAACAAATAAATAGATATTTGAATTTTTTTAAATAAAACATTATTAGGGCAATACCCAGTGATGTACTGTTAAAAATATTTTATGTATATAATAAGATGTATGTCTTCTTTGTACACTGGCACCAATACTTACTAATTTTGGTGTTATGACATGTACCATCTGGCAACAAGCAATTGAGGCCGAATAAGATAATACAAATATCTATCATTTTATGAATTTCTATATATTTTCACGTTTTGCAACTGTAACTGCAATACCATATAATTACAAAGCTACAAATTGTTCAGAAGAGACAAAAAACTATTTAATTTGTTCAAATTATGTTATTGCTTAATTTGTAATAATCATCTAATTCTACGTCTCAAATGATAAAATGAGCCTATTAATGTCTAAAACCTGTGTCATTTATATTTTTAATAATTGTCTTTGTATAATATTGAATTTTTTTAATAGTACCTACCTAAGAGGCATTACAGAGGAAATAATAAAACGATGAAAATACTTAAGTACGTGTCAGATAATGTTAGAATGATACATGTTCTTGGTACTGTTGTCTAAAATTTTAATCCAAATGTTGTTAAAATTAATGTTTATAAGATATATACTTAAAGTATGTTATTGCAATAGTAAGTGAAACTACTTGACAATTGGTTTGCAGAACATTTGTTTACAATTTTATAAGTCGTACAGAAATATTAAGGTTCAATAGAAAAATTTGTCATTCATAATATTAATATGTTATAGCTAGGTATGTAAATTACTCATCATTGGGCGTTGGGCCAATTTTTAGTTTTAACTCTGGCCAGTTTTATTTCTCAATAAAATTTGGCACTGGCCGTGAGACGTGAATTATCTATACTGTATACAATATATTAATTTGTTAGTGTGTTTATAATGGCGGTCATAAGTAAATTTTTTTTAAATAAGTCTACGGCCAATATTTATTATTTACGGTACCCAACTATACATAAACACGTACACGTTTACAAATATTTTTCGATATTTTTATAATTTTTGAAAATGTATAGATAATAGCTCAAAATAGGCCGAAATATTTTTAATTAATTAAATGATGCATCTAGAAAATGCATATTTAATTACTACAGTTTTTCTTTTTGAATTACAGTTAAAAAAATAATTTATTATAAATGTCCCTGTTATTTTACTATTTTATGTTAGATTTTCCAGATATTTAAATTTGTTTTCTTTCGACCCCTCAATGTGGTTACGCTTCATCTAAATCCAATTTGCTATAACAAAACTCCAAACCTAAAAACATAAATTGAATTATCGAACTATAGAATTTATGAATTCTTTTCTCTAAACGTTTGATAGAAAAAAATAAAAAAATCATTGTATACAGTTTTAGTGTGGCCTTATAAAATCTCTTTTTGTCAAAAACTATTGCTTTTAATTTTAACGATACTTATGGACAATTATCAAGATGTTTATTTCGAAAAAATATTTTAATTCTCTCGAATATGTACAAGTATCGTTCCCCTGAGCCACATTTTTGATTGGTGTAATTTACATTGTTATGAACTTTGTAAAAATTTTCAAAAATGTGCAACATTTTAAACTTTAATATATCAACTACATACAATTATACGAAATGCGTCTCGATCAATCCCTCGTACTTGTTGTGAAAAATTAAAATATTTTGTCAAAATACAAATCGACCTATTTCATTGTAGCGACGTATTATTATAATTAGAGTTGTCTGTTTGAGTGAAAAATAAACTTATTTTGGAGAGCACAAAATGTTTTTCTGAAATGTAAGCTGGAGTGCGTGCGAGATCCCTCCTTGCAACTATGGGGTTACTGGTTACAAATACTAACGATAATATTTATGAGTTATCTATTTCTATGATATACTATATAAAATGAAGTCACGTTATTTTATTCGGGATAAACTCCCAAACTACTTATTCAATCGTCGTGCAGTTTTTTTTTTAAATTAAAGGGGGCATCACAGAGAAGGTTATGCATAAAGCATGAATTTAGTCCGATAAAGTTAATAAATAATTAGGTAGTTATTAATTAAAATAAACGTGTAAATTGTTTACATTTTTTTGGTAAGAAATAGTCGCAGGTTGAAAATAAATAACAATATTATTATAAGAATTTTTTGTTTATCAAAAAAAAAAAAACAATTAATTTTATTTGAATATCATAATAATGTTATAAGTATTTATAATCGTTACATTAGTAATTAGTAAAAAATAACTCATAACTAAAGACAGTATTTTGCATAAAATTCATGCTGCTATTTTCAACATCATATACATCCACAAGTCATTACTTGATTGATTAAATATCAAAATTTAAAGTGCATATTTTTGCATATTCTGACGTTACTGCATGTTCTGCATATTTTTCCAATTTTTACAAAAAAACCGTACTTATAAACAACTAACGATCTAAAGAAGTGTTGAGCAAAAAAAAAAAAATAGATTATAGGTACTTTTATATAAATTAATATCAAATATTTTACATCTCAAAGAATATTCGGACGCTAAAAATAGGTTAGGTTATTATTTTTCCAATTAACATACTACATTAAATTGTTCGTACTCTTTTCCTATTTATATTAGTATTATATCACCAATATATCTACTATTTAATTTTAATAAAATATTTTTTATAATGTATCAATGATTAAAACAATTTAACATATTACATTATTATATTACATATTTGTTATATTATACATCTTACTTTTTGTTTATGAAAATTGTAATAAAACTAATAAATAATTATCACTGCAAAATTAAAAGTAAATATAAAATGTAATAAAAATTTAAATTTTATTTTGCATCTTTTTCTTGCATATTTTGAATTTTTAGTGCATGTTTTAAAATTTAAAATACATATAAATCCGGTTTGTACTAATAACTAATCGAATTTAAAAAAATTGCTTGCTAAGATGGCTGATAGCTAGCCACTCATCGGCGTATCCGCAGTCAAAATAAAAAATAAAAAAAAAATAAAAAATATTATTCATATAGAGTATTTGCCTAGCGTGGTTCACGATAATAATAATATAATATCCTACCTGATAATATATTGCTCGCATTATAACAAGCGAGTCTTGTGTATAGATTTAGCGTATGCAACAAGGTGCACGGGATCAGCAAGTGACAAATAAAACGACAAGGCTGATTGCTGAATGTATAAGAAGTTGCCTATAAAATGTTCCTTAGAATCCAGTAAGAGGCCCCTTATTGTTTTTTTTCGGATTTTTTCTTAAGATTAGTGATAACTACTTGGAATCCTAGAATACTTTGACCTCTTAGTCAACACTCAGAATCTAAAAGGAACATTATTTTTATTTCCTCATGTGAAGTCCAACAACTGTTACAGTATTATATTGATGTTAACGATGCTTTATCGAAAACCGTTAAGAGGATCAAAGGATATCAGAGCTACTAAAATACAAAAATTTGGGTGCATAACATAGATCTTTTACTGCTAGACAAGCAATGAGTGTATGGAAAGCGAAACAACAT